ATTTCAGGCATAAACACCTTCAATTTTGAGAAGAACCGAAAGGGTCTCCCTCTGAGTACTTACTACCAAGATGGATCCCTAAATATCTGGTTAACTGTTTGATGATGGATTCACTTCCCCTCACAGGCACTGCCAAACTGCAATAATGCTGGCAGCTGCAAGCAATGGAATCTCAAGAACTGTGAGCTAACCAGACCTCTTTATTTTGATAGCCTAACCAGTTATTTTGTTATAGTAATGATTAATGAACAACAGACAATACAGCTGGTTCAGAATACCCCAACTCCAACCTGGTACTCTGCATTTACAACCAGCAAAACAAGAAATGACTGTGCAGAGATTAGTTGATTGGTACAGTTGTTTTGCTTTATTTGCACAAAATCTGGCATCCTTCAGTTTGTGATTGGCTAAGGGTTCTCCCATCCTAGGATTGGATGCTCCAATTGGCTGAGGCTCAGTTGCTCAGGTAACAGGGTGTACAATTTGCTCTTACATCTAGAAAATCCATAGTTCACTGTTTATGGAGGTCATTTTGGAACACATTTGGAACACATTTTGAAATACCTTTTCTGGATTAGGTCAAACTTGATGTTCCTATGACCACAGTTGATGTCAAAGGAAGCCTTAGAAATAGCACTTTTTATTTCAAGTTGACATGTGCTCCTTTAAAATAGAAAGTATAGGGGCTCCAAATGTGGCTTAGTGGTAGAGTGCTTGCCTAGCATGCATGAAGCCTTGAGTTCAACTCCTCAGTGGCACATACACAGAAAAAGCCAGAAGTGGCGCTGTAGCTCAAGTGGTAGAGTGCTAGTCTTGAGCAAAAGCAGCTCAGGGACAGTGTCTAGGCCTTGAGTTCAAGCATTGGACTAGTTAAAAAAAAAAAAAAGGAAAGTATATGTAATCAAGTGACAATTTAGCTGTCTCTTGTGTGAATCAAGAGTAAAGAGAATTGAAGCAGGCTACAAAAAAGGAAAAAAATCATAACACGATTTAGAACGTTCTGGCTAGGAAGTGAACAAAATGTGTGGGTAGGATGAAAATATAGAAGTCAGGAGCTAGGAATGTGGCTTAGTGGTAGAGTGTGTGCTTGCTTGCCTAGCATGCATGAAACCCTGGGTTGGATTCCTCAGTACCGCATATACAGAAATAGCCAGAAGTGGCGCTGTGGCTCAAGTGGTAGAGTGCTAGCCTTGAGCAAAAGAAGCTCAGGAATAGTGTCCAGGCCCTGAGTTCAAGCCCCAGGACTGGCAGAGAGAGAGAGAGAGAGAGAGAGACAGACAGACAGACAGACAGACAGACAGACAGAAAGGAGAGACAAGAGAGACAAAGAATATAGAAGGAGACATTTATGGTAGAAAATTAAGTAGATAAAATCTTGTGTGTGTGTGTGTGTGTGCGCACGCGCCAGTTTGGGGCTTCAACTCAGGGCATGGGCACTACTCTGAGCCTTTTTGCTCAAGGCTAGCTCTCTGCACTTGTACCACAGCTCCACTTTCAGCCTTGTTGGTGCTTAATTGGAGATAAGAATCTCATGGACTTTCATCCCCAGGCTGGCATCAAACTATGATCCTCATATCTCAGCCTCCTGGATAGCAAGGATTACAGCTATGAGCCATTGGCACCTAGCACAAAATTTTACTATAATACCTTTTCTAGACAGTTCCTCTCCCCAAGCTATCACTATCTTCGAAATTTTCCCCACCATTGTTTCTACTTTGCTTCCCATTTAGTAATAGTATGATTTTTAATGCTTATCTTTCTTTTTTTTTGGTCCGGTCATGGGGCCTGAACTCTGGGCCTGGACGCTGTCCCTCAGCTCTTCAGCTCAAGGCTAGCGCTCTACCACTTGAGCCACAGTGCCACTTCCGGCTCTTTTTTCTGCTTATGTGGTGCTGAGGAATCGAACCCAGGGCCTCCTGCATGCAAGGCAAGCGTTCTACCACTGAGCCACCTTCCCAGCCCTTTAATGCTTATCTTTAAAATTCTAAATATACTTAATTTTCGTGAATAGATTGATCCATGTGAAATGATGTTTTTGTCAGGTGATGTGATGTATTAAGAAACCTTTCTGCTTGCCCATGTAATTGTAACCCCTCTGTATGGTATTTTCACAATTAAAAAAAAAAAAAACCCTTCTGGTTGGGCACTAGTGGTTTACACCTATAATCCTAGCTGCTCAGGAGGCTGAGATCTGAGGATTACAGTTCAAAGGAAAGTCCCTCATACTCTTATCTCCAATTAACTACCAGAAAACCAGAAGTGGTGCTGTGGCCCAATGTGTTTGAGCAACTGGCCTTGAGCAAAATATCTCTGGGACAGCGCCCAAGCTTCCGAGGTCAAGCCCTACAACTGACAAAAAAAAAAAAATAAAGAAATAGTAATAAAGAAACTTTTTCTATATCATCATTTTCCACTGTAATTTTATTATTACTGTATTATCTTTAATTATACAAGAGTTTCAATTCTACAGATCAGTTTGTGAGTACAATGAATCTTCATCATTCCTCCTCATTTCTGCAAGCCCCACCCATCCCCTCAATTTTCCTAGTTCCACTTTCATTTGTTTACCACCTGTCCTAACCTCATCCCCCAACCCCTCACACCTCAAGTACTGGCTTCCTGGTATTCATTTTGTGAGACTAGGAGTTAGTTGTTCAAAGAAGTTACACTATCAGAATTCTCCCCTACCTATAGCATACTATAGTTAGTACATTTGCATACATCTGCATATGGCCCTCCACATGTTTGCATATATACTTATAAATGAAATATAATATCTACATATAAAAGAAAATTTGCATTCTTAGTATCTCTGGGCCTGACTTACTTCACTTAAGATAGTTTTTGCCCAGGTCCATCCATTTCTTTGTAAATGTCTGTCATCTTTTATAGCGTCTCTCCTTGGGCATGAGATTTTTATACTGTCACAGTTAGATGTCATTTGCTTATGACTTTGTCATCCTTTCCCCCAACTTGGTTTTCAATCTCAGGTCTACAGTTCATTATTGTCAGCAGCCAATAATGATCCTTTTGCCCAACATTCTTTTTTCTTTTTTTACGGTGCGGTCATGGGGCCTGAACTCTGGCTCACGGCTAGTGCTCTACCACTTGAGACACAGCACCACTTCCGGTTTTTTCTTTTTGTTTATGTGGTGCTGAGGAATCGAACCCAGGGCCTTGAGCATGCAAGGCAAGCACTCTACCACTGAGCTACCTTCCCAGCCCTCTTGAGCCTTTTATACTTTAGTTCTTCTTCAGGTAGGCTCTGGACCAGACTAGACTGCAATCCTCCCACTTTATGCCTTTCTGTGTACCTGGGGTAACAAGTATGCACCATTATGCCCAACTTTTTTTTGTTGAGATGGAGTTTCATCAACTTTTTGCTTGGGTTAACCTTGAACCATGGTCCTCTTGAGCTCTACCTTCTTAGTAACTAGCATTACAAGTGTGAACCACCATGCCCAGCTGTTTTTTGTCCTGATCCTGGGGCTTGATCACAGGGTCTAGGAACTGTCCCTGAGCTTCTTTGGCTCAAGGCTTGTGCGCTACCACTTGAGCCATAGTACCACTTCTGGCCCTTTCTAAGTAGTTTGTTGGAGAAAAGAGTCTCATGGAGTTTCCTGCCTAGGCTGACTTCAATCTTCAGATCTCAGCTTCCCTAGCTGTTAGGATGATAGGAGTGAGCCCCTAGAACCCAGCTTGCCTAGTGGTCTTTTTACAAATATATTGAACCACATATTAAATCAACAATAAATAGAAATTAGTCTGCCTAGGAACGAACATCATGTTTTTCTACTTGGAAAAGTTACCCCTAAAAATAACCCAGCTGAGTTATATATTATTCAGTAAAAAATAATTACTTTTGGGCTAGAGCATGACATACATAGATATTAGTGCAAAATCACTGTAAGTAAAATAAGGATGTATACTATTCTATTTTTCTAATAACATTTCCTTTCTAAAGCATTGATGGAATCATTTAGTTGTCAAGACAGAAGTCCCCAAAAGTCAACTGTTCATTTTCTAGGGCTATCTTGAGCCTTTTGTAGTTAGCTTGAAATTGGCCATGGGGAATAAATGCCATAATATTAGCTCTCAGATTAATAGTCTACTTCATAGTACTCTTTTTTTTTTTTTTAATTTTGGTGCTAGTCTTGAGTCTTAAACTCAGTACCTGGGTGCTGTCCTTAAGCTTTTGTGCTCAATGCTGGTGCTTTACCACTTGAGTTACAGTCTCACTTCTGTTTTTTTTGGGTGGTTAATTGGAGATAAGGGTCTCATGGACCTTCATGCCCGGGGTGGCTTTGAGCCATGATCCTCAGATCTCAGCCTCCTGAGTAGCTGGGATTACAGTTATGAGCCACTGTCACCTGGCCCTTCATATTACTCTTAGGGCCACATGTTCCTGGAATCTTGATAGCAAGAAATAGCTGCACCAGTCTATGTTTTACCAGACAAAGAAGGAAGAGTCAGTAGCTCTCTTCTGAGTTATCAAAGAAAACTTACTAGGTTTTGACAAATGGAATTTCAATGGCAACATGTAAAGCATCGACGAAAAGCATTAATTCAGACATCTGATGACGACTGGATTTCTAAGAAGTTCCATACACATAATATATGGCAACACCTCTGATGTCAGTTCTCTTAAGACTCTTACATAGAAATAAAGTGTTTCAAATTGTATTAATCACCTTTTTTATGAAACTGAAGGACAGACCAACTATTTTTTGTTGTTATTTTTTGGGGGGGAAGGTCCGGTCGTGGGGCCTAAACTCTGGGCCTGGGCGCTGTCCCTCAGCTCTTCAGCTCAAGGCTAGCACTCTACCACTTGAGACACAGTGCCACTTCCAGCTTTTTTCTTTTTGCTTATG